TAAGTCCTAGGTATGCAGAACCTTTAATAAAGTTCACCTATTTTTTTACGGTGCTTTCAAAAATGCAGTAAAATACAGGGTGTTCCATTTAAAAAAACATAACTTTGATATGGTACGCTTTTCCTGGACACCCTGTATATCTCAAAATATTTTTTAAATGTAGCCGTAATCAACCTACACATACCCACCAAAACAGGTTTCTGTAACATTTGCCGTTTGGTCACTAGCGACCGAGGCGTTACTGGTGGCCCACCCTGTATATTGCGATTGTAGGGCGACTTAAATTAGTGTTGTAATGACTCTTGTAATGATAGCAAGCGCGCCGCGCGCCATTATTCCATGGCTAGAAATTGGCCTCAATGACTTAGGATCGAGGGGAATTATCCCTCTTTATCCTGCCTCATCTCGTGTAGACCTGAACAGCCTTCGTAGGTGAGCCCCATCCGTCGTCTACCCCGACCGCAAATGCGGCCGGTGTAGGCGCTTTGTGGGACCTCCTTTTGTCCTGGCTGGGCCCCGCCGGCTAGGGCCCTTTCTTCTGGCTCTCTTCTTGCTTCGCCGGCTCGTCTGTGTAAACCCCTGGGGTGGTGTCATGTTTATGGTTGGATAGGGTAGTGCGGCTATGCAGCCTGGGATGCGCTTTGCTAAGGTGGCCCTTAGGCTAGCGCGGGAGTGGAGAGGTAAGGAGGGTATGGGGGGTATGTCGTGTGTGTGTGTGTGTGTGTGTGTGCGCGTGTGCGTGTGTGTGTCGTTGTCTCCATTTCTTGATCCCGGCGGTCTCTGAAACAGAAAAGATTAGCTTGCAGGGGGGGGGGGTGTCGATTCATAGCAAGAATACAAAGACAGAAAATTCGGCGGTGACAGCAACCTCGTCGTCATAAATGCTGAGATAAAATATACACACACTTTTCACGCACAGAATGTGGCGACGTCTGGCTCTGGCTGCATAGAAAACTGGCCACTTACCTTTTGTAGACTTATGACGGTAGCATATACGTCGACACCTGGAGCAGTCTGGTAGTTGGAGATGATGTCAGCTTTGTTTCAAGTAATCCCTTATTGGTAAGCACTGCACTTCACTTGAGAGATTGGGGTAGGTGTAGGTAGGTATGAGGAATACACGTAGGTATTGGTTAACACAAAATCTTTCCAAATTTATTGGTTTGTTTTCTACAGGGAAGTTGCGGCTAGTTGACCAACCCTTAGCAGTTCTAGTCCAATGAATTTCAGCAACACTTAACTGTAGATAACTTAAATTATAACACGTTTTTGAATTATTGCGTAATTAAACTAACAGCCTGAAGATTGAATCTATAGTCATCGTCCTGAGCGGCTGGTTGGATTTTTATATGATTTATTATCAGCTAGCAACTCAGCAGGCGATTTTCTATTGTCAGCATAATAATAAAATACATTTATAAGTTAATAGTTGTTATAAAATAATATATAGATGTGCGAAAATATATAAACAGGGTGTTCGGATAACACCAGCACTAACTTTGTCTTTTAGGACTGACGGAGGGTCTGGGCGCGACGAAGAATGTAAAGGTTTGGTTTACGTGGAACACTTGGTATACGAAACCTGTCTTTCATAGCAAGCAATGTCGGTGGATTTTGCACTTAAGGGTCCTAGTTTGTATGATTGCAAATCTATGGTAACAGCTGGCACACTGTTTTCTAACAACACTGTATGTTTGCGTAGTTGAATGTGAGTTTTGATTGCGTGGAATCGCGACGTGGTGAATTATGGTTTTTACTATTAAATGTAATTTGACACGGTTGGTTTTTTGATTGATCTTTTTGACATTTGAGTTAGCTCGGTTGCAACTGTTTGTTACTGTGATTTTCTGATAACGGCGGTGAATGCGTAGCAGTTAAATGATACCGATAGAGTGAATGATAAGAACTGTTTGTTGTATAGAACTGCGCAAATAGCGAATGTTAGTAACGGTTGGCTGAAATTGAAACTAACTCTCGAGTCGAGGTTTGCTGTTTATATGAAACTCGCGGCGTTCGGGCCTCATTTATGATTTTGGAACGCAGTGCTATTAACAAAATGACCAAGCTCTTTGCTCTCCATATGGTACACATAGATAAAAACAAGTGATGGTGCAGATAGCTGAGATAACAGTACCTGAAGTATAAACAAAAATAAAGCAACACTCATTTTTATTATTTTTTTTGTTCTCAATATGACAAAACTTACTTTACATACATATGAAACAAATATTTTAGGACAAACATAGTTATAATTGTAACATAGCTTTCTGATGATAGGGAACGGTGATCCAGCACAGTGTTAATAAAGTCAGCATGTAAAGTTACATTATACAGGGTGATTCATTAACAATGGGAAAGTCGAATGCTGAAGATACTACACGTGAAATGGTGACCATTGGCGGAAACATGCCTTATCCGAAAGTTGATAGTTTCGGAAATACAGGGTGTTGAAAGTTAAAATTTTAAATCGTTTTTTTGCGATTATTCTGAAAATATGTAGGTTAGGAACTTGAAAATTTGTGAAACTATATTTTTTTAGGCGACGAATAAGATGCGTGTTGTAATTTCAGCATTGCTCATAGAGGGCGCCACTTACGACCAATTTTACCGAAAATTTAGTTAATAACTTTTTACCCTGTATGTCTAACATGAAACTTGATTCAAAACCTGAAAGAGCAATCATTTTTCCATTAATTGTGTATTCTTGTTTCATT